TTACATTTACGGTTATAAATACCTTTGCGATCCAAACAGGGATCGCTTCTCACAAGCAGGTTGAAAATTAGGCCAAAGAGTTCAGTTAGAAGTTAGTTGTTCAGGGTAATCACTACAAAAGTGACTAAAAATGCTATAATTTGTCGAAAATCATCATGAAGCATCTATCAAAACCTACAACTCCATTGAGAAAAGAGCTTTCATTTGCTTCTCACTACTTGAACCACAAAAACTAATTTTTCTCTTGATGTATAGCTCTTTATAAGTTATATGGATACGAATGGATTGAAACTCTACAAAGCAGTCACAACCACAATAAAGAAAATGATTCCGAACGTAAGCAACAATTATGATTCCACATAAGATTAGTACCAAATCGACAGCCACCAACTAGAGAAAGTATCACATACGTTTGAACTCCAACACCGTAAAACATCTTCATTGTGTTTGAAAACATACTACCTCGCTAGATAGTATATTACGAAGAAGACGAATAAGGCGAACAAGACGAGGTAGCACATCACATTCTTACCTGGAATAAAGAGTGAATAAAACCTTAGTGAAGTTTAGACTGAATGCTTTATTATGTGCATACAATCCCGATCCTCTTAGTTCAGAACACAGAAAGATTACAAAGAATTCTAAAAGTGAAAAGAATGAAAGTTAAGTGGAATCTTCACCTCCCGCTCTACTAACAATACCAAGACGTTTCATAGTTGACATCAGTAAGCCTTTGGAGGAATCAAAGTCATTATCCATGCTATTTAATAAACGGTTTTGTTCTCTTACATCCTCGCCAATTGAGATCGTAACCTAAAAGAAGAGATATAACCAACTTTCCCATAAACAATTGAGTACTAGAAGCCATAGAACACAATTAGTTTCAAGATAGATGTGGGCTTCTGCAGCATTGAAAACTGCTTTCATAGTGCAGATGACTACAGTAGAGCAGGTAATTCTGGCAAAAAGGAATAAAATAACAAACTTGCGCTAATAAACTTTAGAAATTGCAGGTAGTAATTACATCAACTTGATTTAGCTGCATTATTTATTGCACAAGTCTATACTATAGGCGTCTTCAAAACCCACTTAAGCATAAGAAGAAAGTTACCAAAAAATGAACAAAAGATAAAACGATTTGGGACAATGTAATACTTGAGAACGAAATACTTCTAGTTTGAAAATTATAAATCTAGATTTCCCACATATAGCCTTTGTAGAAAAAAAAAACGAAAGTTATTTACAAAGCATGAAAGTGCTACTCAAGAGAAGATAAGAATGATTTTTTACCTTTTTTAAAGCAGCAACTTTCGTTGACAATTCATCAACAAGGCTATCATTTTGACGTTCCAAATAACTGCCTTCAAAGTTATTACTTGTACTCGGACCTAAACAACAACACTGAAAGTAGCTTAAACTTTGGGCATAAAAGAAAAGCCACCTCTCGTACCGCGATATGCCATATTCTAGGTAGTGGAGATGTGGTTGTTATCAGAGAAGTTTTTGGGCTAAAAAATAAGTTATTAAGCGATACAACACACAGGAACAGTAAATATATCGTCATTATTCCACGGTTTTTAAAGAAGCAAAGACTTTTGGAAATTGCAAAGGAAACAATGCGTTTGTCGAGCGTGTTGGAGTGCATAGATTCCGCGCTCCCGGTGACTTTTAGCCACGTCAGCCTTCACTGGGTCAGGTTATTTCATACAATTCTGTTATTTCGTAATATTTTCCCATTACTTCACAAGGTCTCATGTTAGCACTTTCATTGTTAGTATTCTTCTGTGGTCTATTAGTGGTGATGAACGCTTCAACAAGGATTTTAATTAGTGTCTCGCAAGACGGATTATTTCGTGCATGTCTTCGAAGTTTTTCTTTATTTCCCATCCTTATGTGGTAACTTTCACTTCTATTGCTTCTATTTTCAACTTTTGCTATCCTCTTTCAAGGTCAACTCTTTGCCAAAGCATGACCGTCATTGATTACCATCACGTGATGAAAAAAGCGGTCGTTGAGCCAGTTTCCGTTCAGTCATGGTTCCCGTTCAAGCAACGTCCCCTCCTTTTCCCATAGAATTTTAGTCATTCTGGAGTAGTTGTCGTTTGTCGTACTTTTACCTTTTCTTCATCTAAGCGCGAAAACGAAACCGTGAAATTGCATTATTCTTCCCTTTTTATAATCTTTCGTACCGCACAATCACCTTAATATTTAGCTCGCAAATCGTATGGATTAGGAGCACCAGGACGATAAATTATGGTATACATAGATTCGAGTGAGTTTTTGCATCTTTAACGTTATGCAATCGAATAACTGCGACGAAACCTCTTCGGAATTTGCCGATTGCAAAAAAAAACTCTTTGTCTTATTGTCGGGTT